GTGTCTGTGGGTGAGGTTGGTGGGCACTGGCTTCAACCCTGCCTCTATTTAGTTCTTCCTGTGCTGTCTCAGTCAGTGAGTGCAACACAACCTCTCTGAAAGGACAGGCTCTCCATACAAAGCTCAAAGTACCTTTTCTGTTTGCTGCTGCTGCTGCGAGTTCCCCAGGGTTTACAAGCCCAGCCTGTCTCAATTACTCACCTTGATGTTTTGAGGACCTGAGCAAATCAGATGGGGCTCCTGGCAGCAGTTTTGTGTTGGAGGCATTGCAGTTTTACTGAGAATGCCTTTGTGTGCCAGGAAGCCATTTCCTTGGTTAGAGCTCTCTTTAGTGCTGTAAGCACTGAAACCTACACACAAAACTACGGTTTTCCTAACTCTCCTCGCTGTGGTGAGTACCAGGAGTACTGTGCTTCACCAGTCATTCAATACCCAACTCAAAGTTGAAGCAGTCCTGAGCTACAGCCGGTATCTCGGTCACTGCACTAGCTGTGAACATAGCCCAGGGGACCACCAGATGTGCTTCAGGTGTTTGGAGCATCTCATAGAACCCCAGACTGGTTTGGGTTGGAGGGGCTTTAAAGCTCACCCAGCTCCAACCCCCTGCCACAGGCAGGGACACCTTCCACTAGAGCAGCTTGCTCCAAGCCCCTGTGTCCAACCTGGCCTTGAGCACTGCCAGCCCAGACTCTCCTGTGGAAGGTGCTACCTGCTGTGGGCTCCTGCGCTGTCTCATAGAACACTCTTGGATGACAGCTCTTTGGTAACACTCAGTAAGCTAAAGACACACATCCACTGATGCTGCCAGCGTGACCTTGTTGCTAGGAATTTAACACCAAGTCTGGATTTCACTGTCCTGTCTTTGAGCTTCTGTTGCTCTTGCCCTTGTTCTCATCACCATTTACTTTTAAGCACTGCTCATCATTACAGCTATAAAACATTCTCCTTCTTAAGAGGGGCCAAGCCCGCAAGCTCAAAGAACACATGAACTCAGAAACCAGCACTCAGCTTCTCCGTGAGAACAAAAGGAATGTGTGACTTACTATCACAGCGTGGATGTGTCATGCTGGCCACAGAATCCTCTTGCAAGTCTCTGCCATTTGAAGTGAGAATTAATCTCCCCTAAAGATTTCCCTGTGGGATTGCTGCAGCCATCTTACTGTAGCAGTTGTGAGGATTTTCTAATTCACTCAAAGTGATGTATTCGCAGATGTGCCACATTTTAAATCATTACCTGCTACAGTAATGGTGCGGGCTAATTCCAGCATTCATCTCCATTGCTGGGTAGAAAATCTGTTGTTTACATCTCGTCAGATCTTTGCTAGAAAGATTTCCATCACCATCTCCTCACTGGGCCATATGGTTTCAATCATCCTTTGCCAAGTAACAGCCAGTTTCTCAGCTGGTACTGACCCAGCCAGCACAGACCCAGACTGTTCCAGTCCTCTGCGTGAGGTGGTTTCCACTGCTGCAGCCTCTAGGTTCACAAACCTCTGTGTGTGTTAGTTCAGCTCCCCCGTGGCTGGGAAGCTGATGGAGGAGAAGGCTGCTACTTTCAGCACCCAGGAGCTGAAGCACGGGGCTGTCCTCTGGGAAGCCTGTGGCAAAGCGGGGCACAGGAGCCTGATCTCATGACTCCTGAGTTAGCATCCCTGGAAGCACTGGGGTAGCTCTGAGTTCAGGTTGTGAAATGGATTGTGGCAGCTCCCTGCGCTCTGCTGTTGCACACTGCGGTTAGCTCTGGATTAGGCTGGTGTAGAGCCATGGTACAAAGACACAGCTAAAACATGATGCTGACAGGCACCCTGAGAGCTTCAAACCTACCCACTGCAAAACGATAACACAATAACCAGTTACTTAAGTTCCCCTAGAGTACACAGAGGTGCACTGAGAAGTGGGTTCCTGGGATGCAAATCCTCCCCATGCCCATTAGGAAAGAATAAAGATACACAGCATCTTTCCAGCTGGCATTAAAAGGGCTGCGTGTGCTTTTCTTGTGTTTTATGATACAACAGTCAGTGGGCTAAGCTGGAAATCAGGCTGCTGCCTGTCAGATGCAGACACAGATGGCTGTGACGATGCCCTTGGGACTGGCTGTCTGGCCGTGGCTGAGTGCCTTGGAAGGAGGCATAGGAAGCTTTACAGTTGTGCTGGGAATGCTGGCAGAAGCATTTCTGCATCAGGAGCAGCAGGATTGCTCCCTGCTGCTGTCCCAGGAGGTGTCAGCAGCAGCCCCATGAGATCAGGAGTGCCCAGGATGTAGTGCTTTCCTCTAGGAAGGAAGAAGGAGACACAGAGTTCACCTTGAAAAGGTGATCACCAACATCTCATCTGCAGCCTATGGAGAAGTCGTTAAACACTCTTTGCTGTATTTCTATCTGACATGCCTTTTTATTGCTCTTTGCTAAATCCAGAGCAAGAAACAGCACAGAAAACAGATCAGCTTTTGGGCAGGCTAGCACAAACAATATACCCTGGTGTGTCCTGAATAGGAAACACTGCAGAAAAGGGGTCAGGGGAAAGTGATGCTTTACAGAACCTGACACAGACAACTCTTGTGTAGTATCAAAGCTGCTCATTTTGTAATACGTGTTGGGCAAACTGGTGGTAACATCAGCAGAGCCTGGGGGCTTAATGAGGAGCTCAGAGCTTCGAGCAGCAAAAGCCTATTTGAGGTAATGGTGGTTGATAATTTCCGAAGAAAAATATGTCATAGAAAGAAAGAAAAAGTCTGTGAGAGAAATCAGGCACCTAGAAAGGCAATTAATGCCCAGGTAATTCAGCTGCAGCTGCCAACAAATGACTCTGCTTTCACAACTGGGGATGACATACTGAAGGGTAAGAACTTAATAGGATCAATCTCGCATACAAGAAGAATGGCTAGAGGAGGCCAATCCAGCAGTAGAAGAAGCAATTAGAACAGTGAGGGAATGAGGCAGCCAGAGAAGAGATGAAAGTGCTGCCTAGCACAAAATGACCGGGTAAAGCAAATGCAATCCTCACCAGCCGTCCATACCATGGGAGCTGTGGTGGCCCCGGGACAGACACACACTGCTTTGAAGAGGGGCAAGTGGCAAAGCCTGGAGAGAACCAGTGCCCAGCAGACCCAAACCAGCACATACAAAGGGAAGGAGCACTCAGATGAGAGGGAAGAGGTGCCTGGAGAGCTGCAGAGCAAAGCCCGTGCGTGAGCACTCAGCGCGGGCATGGGCAGGGAGAGCTGCTCCCTGCGGCCCTTTCTGCTCCAAGGATGTGAAACATAGGCAGGTCCTGAAGAAATACTCATAAACAAGCACCAGTGCTAGGATACAGGTAGACTTAACTCCAGAAAAGCACTCTCCTTATCTGGTACAGGCAGATGGTAGCAAGGCCCTCAGGGGAGGGAATCAACAGAGCACAAGGGAGAAAAGCACCAACATTGGAACTTTCACACAGCAGACATTTCAAATAAGCCATCAATGGGACTGAGCCTTAAAACCCTGAAAGGTGGATAAAGATCCCAGTCATGGCAAAGCCCATAAAAGAACACACCCTAACAGGGAAAAGTAGGAAAAGCTTCCTTAATTTTGCAGTGTCCGAGGTCCATCACTTCAAACAGATCAAGGGAATGGCCAGTTCAGTGTCAACAAGACACAGAGCACAGCAACAGCATTGTGTAATGAGATGGATAAAGGACTCCATCCTTGGAGCATAGCCAAAGAGACTTGGAAATTATGGGAATGAGGCAGGTCACTGGTTGCAGTAGAAAAGAAAGCCACTAATGGCTTGTGAATACAGAAGGTTGAGCGAAGAGCACAGGCATTCACTCTGGAGGGACAGCAGAGGAAGACCTCCCTGATGAGCTGCTGCTCTCCCCATCGCTTCTCAAGGTGATCTCCATAATATGAGCTTCCCAAGATGATCTCCATACTGTGAGCTTCCCAAGATGATCTCCATACTGTGAGCTTCCCATGATGATCTCCATACTGTGAGCTTCCCAAGGTGATCTCCATACTGTGAGCTTCCCAAGATGATCTCCATACTGTGAGCTTCCCAAGATTATCTCCATACTGTGAGCTTCCCAAGATTATCTCCATACTGTGAGCTTCCCATGATGATCTCCATACTGTGAGCTGGCTGATTTTCCCAGCTCTGGGGAATCAGTTTGTTTGTACTTGGAAAATGTATGCTTTAGCATCTCTGCTATTTATATCCTCCATGTGCAGAATATACTCATAATTAACAGTTTTATTATAGCTTGACTGCGCTACATTCCACAATGTATTTGGGTTATATATATATATCAATTACCTTTCATGTCCCACCAGCATACTGGATAGAAACAAAGATAGCTAATGAGAAGGCCAGGGAATATTATACTTGAGAAACCCCAGAGCTGCGGACTGTGCTGGTTTTAGTGCAGTTAAATTATGTGAACTGACACCTTTTTTATTTCAGTCATCTTCCAGCAAAGTTCAGTTTTTATTTTAATAGCCAAATAAATCAGAGCAGGAGGAAGGTCCTGCAGACAAACAGCTCTCTAAGCAGACAAAAAGCCTCAGCAGGAAGAAACAATGAGAAAGATATCACTGAGGCTTTGTTCTTCCTGCCATCCATTCCCTCTCCTTTATCACTGCCTGATAAGAGCCTCTTTTCATGCTGAAGGTCAGAGAGATAAGGTGCATCTGTGCTGGTAATGCTAACTACCTCCAGCCAGGTCAAAATCAAGTAATTCACACATGCCATAGAGAAATGGTGGGCTGAGAAGGTCTAACCCAGAGTGCTGACGTAATTCCATGGCATAAAGAAAAGCACTTCCCTTCATGTCTGCCTGCATTGTTTCCAGAGCGTTACCTTTATTTCTGCAGAGCAGGTCAGCCTGGGATTGAACCAGGAAGGAAGAATTGTCTTCAAAACCATTGCTGGACCAGTGGGAGCCAGATACAGGGGTCAGTCAGGTATTTCTCTGTGCCCCTCTTTTCCTTTTTTTCCCCCTACTTATCCTTTTTTTCTTTAGGTTCCAAGAGAAATTATTCCCAAGAAGAAAAATCCCAGTTCGGATCCACATGTGGATTCCAGATCCCAGGATCCACTCTGTGCTGTAATATGGCTGTGATATCAGCTGGGAAACGTGATGTCAACTGCAACAAAGGTATTTAAAGGTCTAACGGTTTATTTAATGTGTTCTTTAGGGCCATTTGTAACTTTCCCATCTGAGCTCTGATTATGAATAATCACCAACTACATTTGATGGTCTTTGCTGCTGATTCCTGTGCTACAGGAATGCTCACCAGAGTACCCGGTCACACGGAGCTGACCAGGAGGGTAGGAACACAGTGAATTCCTGATTGCTCTGACCCTGGGAGCTGTTTTGCTGTGCTGCTGGCATTTCCCTGAATCAAAGCTCTGCCTCACTGTCTCTCCTTATGCTTTACAACCTTGTTGTGCACATACATACACACACAGCCCTTATGTCCCTTCCTCAAGTAGCTACAAGAATGAAACGATCATTCCCAAACTCCCATAGTCAAGGAATGAAACTGTGTACATGTACTCAGGTACCAGATGCTTTAGTGTTTTTGGCTGGTCATGAGCTGCCTTTCCTCAGGAAAGCTTGACTATGTCTTGTATTGAGTCTCTAAAGGTCACCTCACCAGCAGGAGAAGCAGGTGCCCAACACCTCTGGAAGTCAGCCTGCTTGTACAGACACTTAATGCAGTGCCTGAGCTGAGCTGAGCTGAGCTGAGCTGCCAAAAATTGAGTAATTGCTGAAGAATCTTAGTTAACATCCCAGTCATTTAAATATATCCTTGAGCCCGAAGAAAGGGACCCATTATAAATGTACGAGATCACTCAAGTCTCCAAGTGAATCCTGAGCCATGCAGATAGCACTGAGTCAGGAGATGAAGCTGACTCTGAAAGCAGGGTCTGAGCTGCAGGAGTCAGACCAGAGAATAGGAACACAGCCCAGGAGCCACAGCACAGCATCCAGGTTATCAGGCATCTTCCTGTTTAATTGGATGGAGTTGTATGTTTCCTGTTTCACCTGTAATAAAATCAGCATCAACTTCTTTGCTGGATTGTAGTGTGTTTGTTGGAAAGGAAATATCTGAACCACTGCCATCTAAACAGTCATGTTTCAGGGGATTCTTAATATAGCTGTTGCCATTGCTCAGTATCAGGTGAAAGCTCTTCCAAGATAAATCCTTCTAGTTTTTCCTCAGTATTTTTTCCTTTGTCTTTCACTTTTCCTCTTTTCTTCTGCCTTTTTTAGCTAAAGTCGCCCTGATGCAGAAACGCAAGATAATGCTAATTGAGCTTGTCAGGCCTAAATAAAAGATGGGATAATGCAGGGGGCTGCAACCTGTGTGGTTCCATCTGGATACTTCAACTCCTGTCATGTAACAAGAGCAAACCTTGCTGTGCTGCTTTGCACGTAATGGGCAGAGAATTATTGACCTGTCATGCAGGGCACTGGTGTGTTAACTACACCACAGAAACCAGAACCCACCTGTGTAAATGTCAGCAAATTCACTGTAATATCTTTAACCAGACCAGGGGTCACCTGTAGATTGCAAGCTTGTCTTGTTTTTCACTTAAATACAATGGTTTTGCTCCTCTAAGTCTCAAAACGGTTTGGCTGTGGTGGTACACAGGGTCGGGTAAATATCTGGGGTTTCAAAGATTAAAAACAACAGACAGCATTAACCTGCTGCCCCTGGTGACAATACTCTCATGAGCAGGGGTCCACAGGACTGGGCTCTAGGATGGAGAATGAGTTTTGTCTAGTCTAACAGCAGAAGAATCTGCATGTGAAGTCAGAGCACACTGAGTGCTTCCATTTAGAGGCTCTGCAAGCACCAGATGAATATTAACAACTTGATTCAAGTCCATGGGTTATATGTAATTAGGCCAAAGCCAGCAAAAAGACAAACAGTTCTACACCTTCAAATGAATACTTGAGCTTGCTAACAAAAAGTAATTAACTGCCTGCCAGTCCAGAGCAAGGCTCCGGGCTAATTTCACACACAGGCCACTAGCTGTATGGCAGCATCCTGGCACGCTGCTGCTCCAATGTTTTTCCCTTCACTTTCAAATGAAAAGCTGCTGGGGGTCCCTCACATCGAGTCAAAAGCCACAGAGAGAGCATCCAGCCTTGGGAATCGATCCCACTGCTCTAAAGATGTGCTGCAGCTACCCAAGAGGGACCTGGAGAGCAGGGGTCCAGCATTTCTCGACACGTATCGCACTCTGCAGGGAGATGTACCAGAAATGTGCCCATCCAAATGTCACAAAAGGCCTCGAGTAAGTTCAGGAGAGCTTGTGATTTCAATTAATTATTACTGATGACACGGATGAGTTCTGGGAGCGCAGTAATTGAGATCTGGATAATTACAGCTGCACTGCAGAATGAAGCAAGGACTTGAGCATATTACCTGCACTGGCTCTGCCTGTGGGCAGGGACCAGCAGGATGGAATCCTCAAGGGCCATAAAACTGGGGGACAATCAGTGGTATTTCACTCATCCAGCATACCAAAGAACCATTTCATCCCCTTTCCAGAGCCTAGTTGTTTTGCTACATCATAAAAAACTTCAGGAGACATTAATCCCAGCTCATACTGGCAACAGGAGTGTAATGAGAGCGTAACTTCATTTCCTGCTGTATGACAGAGTTAAAAACCAAATACATCTCAATTTCTCCTAAGAAACTCAAATGAATGGTTCTGAGGGCTTGTGAGATGAACACCTTCCTGGTGCTTTGTAATAGCTTTGATTTGAGTCCAGGCTTTGGAGCTGGCCTTTCCTCTATAGGGGAACAATCTACCACCCCAAACCCTGTCGGGCTGTGAATCTTGAACTAAGTTTATGGATTCATAAGGTTCTTCCTTGGCAAAGCCACCAAGTAATAACTGCGCAGGCCACGCAAGCAGAGGAGGTACAGCATTTTTTTGACAGTCCTAAGGGTCATAGATCACAGTGGGGAAAACAATTTCTGCTGCTGTTGTGAATTAGACTGGGGACCAATTGCTGAGGCAGCTCAACTGGTGCAGAAAACTGGAGGAATTCTTGTTCTTTGTAGATGAAGGGAAGTTCAATACTACTGCCTGGGGGAAATCCAACGTTATCTTCGAAACAACGGAACAGGGAGCTGAAAAGACTTTATATTCTGTTGTGCTTTCATTTTAAGTTCTCTACTATGCAAAATCCCATGTACAATATCCCTACACTCAGTGTCCTGAAAGCGATCACTTATTTTTAGCTGCACATACCAACTGGTTCTGTTTACTGCACTGGTTTTGTTTTGCTATGCCAAGTATTTACCGTTTTCATTCCTGCCCTTCACAATATGTACTAATCCGATCTATGTCATGCCATCATTTAAAACTGCACTCCTAGTTTGGTGTCCAAGGCCCTAATTTCTCCAGTCTTAACACTGGCAACTGTGTCTCAGCTTGGTCATACACTCCCAGAGTATATATATGTATACTATATATAATATATATACTGTCTTTTGCAGTCACAGCTGTCTGACATGAATCAGCTTGAAATAACAGACATGCAAACCAACAGGAGGATACAAAATACAAACCAGATTTCATAACTTAATACCTACTGCTAGAGTGAAGTCATTCCAACATCACACATACACTGTGTGTTGCACACTTGAAGCTGTAACACCTTCATTTTCACATGCAGGCCTTTTTTCTCAGGCCTATTTTGCTATCCCTGAGGTATTAAGCATTGTTGGACATTCCTAAAACACCTGAAAGCTCCATTCGAGATGCTTAAATCTCTGCTTAATATGTCAGTGGGATGCCTCATGCTGCAGGGCTGGTGTGTGCCACTTATCTCTCTAACTCACCTGGAACTCAGATTAGGAGTTCACAGCCCTATGGTTTCCCTCCTGCAGATGGGTCTTAGTTGCTGTTCTTCAGTCGATCTTGCTTCCCATTGCTCCTGCAGCTGCAGAGTCAGAACTGTTGGTACAGTTCCAGTGACTAATTCCTGCATGACTTCCCAGAGCATCACAGATGTCCATAAGGAACATGCTTTCAGAAAATGTGTGTAGATTGCTAATTCCCTTCAAAATGTACCCTTGGACCCCCCGTAACACCCACTGCCACATTACTTTGAAGAGATTACAAACTGGCAGAGGATTGTGTAGCTATTAACAGGCAAGTGGCATTCCTATGAGAAGCAGACTATCAGATGAAGTGTCCTCATTACCCACTCTGCTACTTTCTGCCACTTAGGAATGATGGAGTCACCTGGCTACTCTCAGATAAGCTCCATTGTCCTTCCTCTTGCCATCATGACGTATTCCTCTGCTATTAATCGGGTGACGGTATGTCTGTCACGTCTGGAAGGTACTGAGATGAGGACCCGGCCATGCATCACACCCAGTCGCACTGTGTGCTGCTTGCATAGAACATTCTGATCCTCGAGTACAGACGCGGTGCAAAGTGTATGGAAATGCTGGTGTGCGTTTGGATTTTGTTTGCTTTGGCAGTGAAAGATTGTGCCTGCTGGAACCAGTTTGGCAAAAGAGAGAAATGGGCTGCACGTAAAGAAATCAATATTGAAACTGCCTCGGGGTACCCCCAGAAAAATGTGTTTATTGAAGGCTGAAACGGCTTAGTGAAGAAAACCCAACAAAATTATGGCAGGCAAATTCTTCCTCCTGTGAGTGAGGAATCACTCAGAGCTGTGTGGAGGTTTTACTCTTTGCTTGCCTTGCTCTGCCTTCCACAGAAACGCTGTGGTTTCACGGTGTGTACCTACAGCACTTAATTAACTACTAAGCCCTAAGCCCCACACTGCTGAGACACAACGAAGAGGGAAGAAATACACAGCAGAATTAGTGTATATATAGGAGACAATGGAGAGATGCTAACTTGAGGAGTAACTGCTACAAATGCATTAATGTATTTGTCCCTGGAAAAAAAGGAGGGGAGAAAGACTGTTTGCATTGCAGCAGTGCCACTGGCTCATTAGCAAGTGGAATTAATTAAGGTGTCCTGATCACTCCATTGCAGGGAAATCAACAGCAGAGATGCACTCTCATCCCTGGTGTCTAACTCATTTCTCTGCAGAGCCCTGCGCATGGCACAAGGTTTCCTACTGAGGTATTTGAGAAGACCTCCACCCCACCCCAAGGGTCCTTTCCCTCCTCTTTCCCTGGAATACTGTCATTCCATGTATATTCAATGTAATTTAAATACCAGGAGGAAGAAATGCCCAGTCTAGCAACCAGTCTACTGTGATTCAGAAAGAGGTAGAGCTGATTACAGGAGGTTAAAAAGTGACCCACAGTTGTAAAGCTCAACATCTATTAATGAGTTGTTTTCTTCAGGGAAGAGATTACTTGATGCTTGTCACAGGAGGAAAACTTGTCCCCAAGAGAATGCTGTGAGCATGCAGAACTATTAGCTTCAAACACCAAGCTGCATGAGAAGGGGCTGGAAGTGACTGCTCTTGCCTTCCCAAGCAATGTCACTGCTCTCAGCAGCCACTGCAATACGAGAGCTTAAGTGACAAAGAATATCCTGTAGCATTTCCACTATCCTTCCCCTGAGTAAGGACTCATGCTGCTCGCTGAATTGGATGCTATGGCCAGGTTTATCTGGTGAGCTCAGTCCTTAACCGTCAGGCCTCTCACAAACAATACCTTCTGATGTAGCAATTTACTGTTCCCAACTGCTCCAAAAACATTAACACAAGTGCTGCTCTGGACCATTCACTTCAGTTAATTGTTATGATGGGTCTCTGCAGTCATGTGGGATGGTCTGTAATGTGTCACCGAACCACTCACATTACTCAGGGAAAAGAATGATGAGTGGTTTGTGTCCCAGTGAATAGAAAATACTGCAATTCTTATGCCAGTCTTAGGTTTGGGCTTTGTGTCAGTGACAAGCCTATTTGATGACAATAAAGGAAGGGGAATGGGAGAAAAAGGCCAAGGAGAGTATCTTTGTTTCCTGCCCCTCATTCCAGTCTCCCTGGAATGTGAGGAGTAGCACTGAACAAAGAGAAAGCACTTAAAGCACTGAAAGACTGATACAGCTCCCTGATGCTTTGTGATAAGCTGCCTTTCTGCTTGTTTGGAAGGTCAATGGTCCAGTTTTTCTCATACTTTTTAAGGTGATAAAGATCAGGTGTCCAGAAGTATCACCGGTTTGACTGGGTCTGTGCTCACTGTGGCCAGGTAACTAAATTTATAAGCCACTCGAAACAGCAGTTGTGGAACCTGCTCCATCAGACAACTCAATACTCTCTGTGTGCTTTAGCCAGCAAAGGAGCTCACCCATACATGTCCCCAGAGATTTGACCAGGAAGTTGGGAATGAAAACAGTAGGAGAGCTGGTGCTGGTTCTGTTTTTCCTCTGTTTCATGTTCTAGAGTAAACCCAAGAGCAGAGAAGGAAGTTTCCATGGCGTCTGTACTGAGTGAGCAGCTGAGGAGACAAATGGCTTTCCCAACTCCTGTTTCTGTTCACAGGTGATGTAACACTTCATCATCTCACTAGCTCTAAACCTATCATGTTAGGTGTCAGCACTGGAAAGTAAGTGCCCATTGATTTACCTTAAGTACTGTGCACACAAGATTTAACTTCCTTCCATACTGTCTGTTCAATTTACCTGAACAGCCTTAAAATGCAGGGCCACACGGCTGCAGTTTTCAATCTGTTGACAAATTTAATCATCAACATACAGATTGGCTTTTAGGTACACAGAATGAGATTACAGTAGAGACCAGTTCTGAACATTCAAATGAAGATGAAGTCTGAAACTGGCTCTACAGCCAACTGGCAGCTCAGATCCATCCTGCACTCAGGTGGCTCAGAGATTATGGGTCTAGAGTGTCAGCTGCCAGGAGGCTGGCTGGTGTTACAGATGGGAATGATTTAATTTCAGTGGGAAGACTGTGGAGTAAGAAATTACAGAACTGGGCTTCTGACACATTCTCAAACGAGAGAACAGTAATAGGAGAGAGGGAAACAAAACAGCACCCCAAGTTAAAGCCAAACATCAAGAAGCAGTGGGAAGGCTTCCCTTTAGATACCCTCTCTGCTATCAAGTAAATCAGCTGCTCATGCCAAGGTGACCAGTGAGGTGACAAGGGCAGATCACAGCTGATAAGCCTTTTCCACCGAGGTAGCATTACAAACTGAGCAAAACCTCCTCTGCAAGCACGATTTTAGGCTAGTGAGTAGAAATCCCAACTGTCTGCTGTCAAAAACAGGGGCCAGCAGCCTCCAGCATCCCAGAGGATACGCATTTGCTGTAAGCCAAACAGATGAGGCACATGGAAGAAAAATAAAAGCCAAGAGAGAGAGAGAATGAGATAACTTACAGCAATGAGCTGGTAGGAGTTGTTCATCATGGCTATGAGCATGTTCAGCAGCACAACGAGGGAGATGACGTTGTAGGTCCCGAACATAGTGGCCCCAACAAACTCTGTGAACTCATGCCTGGCTTTCACGTTGGTGACATAGAGATTGAGCAGACCAAACACAGACCAGAAGAGCGACTGGAGGGTCTCGAAGAGTCTGCAAATAAAAACAGGTTTTTACTTGGCTGCCTGGCTCTGGGGAATGGAAAACAATGCCTGGTTCAGGTGCTGGAGAACACATTAGGCATCAGAAGCCTGAGGCGCTCCAAAGTGGCTGCGCATTTATTCTCCCTGGGAACAGCCCTCACTCCAGCCACAGTGACCCACTGGCCAATGCATGTGAGAGCTGTGTCACATCGACATTTGCTACCTGTCCAAGAACCCTGTCTGTATCCTTGTGAGATGCAGTGAGCATAACTGCCCAGAAGGAGCCCAAAGTCTTTTTGCACTCCACACACATGGAAAGAACAGCCACGATATATTCCCTCTAATTAGAATTGCTGTGCTGTGATACTGCTGTTAGCTATAGACACAGACTCTCCTGTTTAATCAGTGCCTGCATCATTAACACATCTGCAGACTCAGTGTTCAGGGAACCCACCCCCAAGTACAGCATGACCGTAGTAGTTAAACAGTGCACAACAACACTGCACCGCGAGGCAGGAGATGGGAGAAATCACACTGACTTGCACCTTTTGCTCTAATACAGGCTGAGAGCTTGCCATTGCTTTGGCTGCAAGTGAGCCAGGCCAGTGTGCTAAGACCCTGTCAGTTCGCAGTGCATGAGGCCAAAAATGCTGGTCTCTGCTCCCACCACTGCAGCGCAGTGCCCGCAACAGCACTGCAAGAATTGATCAGTAATGACTGATCAGAAATGACTCAGATGAGAGTCATCACTTTAATTCAGCTCAAGAGGTTTTTCTTCTTTTGAAGTCTTCCTTCCATAGATGAACTAGACCTGACCTCACTGTGCTTTACAGCTGATGAGATCATTGCAGGTCTCTATTTGCTTCAGCTAGAGACAAGTGACCTTTCGCAGTCACGTCAAATACATAATCAGCAATCTAAATAATTGCTCTATTTGGGCATCTTTGTTCTGGCTTTCCAGAATATGGCATTTATATAATCAAAAAATGACATTTATATTCCTGTTTAAGAGTTTCCATTTTGGCCTGAGGTCAGTAGGTATTTTCAAAAGCTACTACTAGAAAAATCAATACAAACAATTCAGATATGTTGCTTGACATGCCAGGAATCTGTACCCCAGCCTTCTCCAGGCATCTGCTCCACATGTAACCCCCTTGCTTCATATGGGGATTTCGTTTCTTTGTATTTTGTGGACATATCTTATGTTTTTCACTGGCCAAGTTTATAAAGACTCTTTAAAGCAGAAACCCTTTCTCCCAAAAGTCAGGCTGCTTGTTAGCTTTATGAAGTAAGTGAGATGGTAAAATAAGAATGCTAAACATTCCCCTGCTAAAAACAGGGGAGTGCCAGCTATCTTTTAACTATTAGCAGTACTGATTAGGCTGTAGGCTCAGGGGAGACGGAGGTTCCTGTCATGAAACTGAAACCAGAGATCAGTGCACTGCTCTGAATTCACACTACTAACCAGGAGTATAATTTGGGCCCAGACTAAGGCGAATATGTTTACATGTGGACACGAAAAAGCCAGCAACTGGTTTCTGCACCTCTGCAGAGACGAAAGGCTTAGTTGCTCTCTCCTCAGTGTTTAACGCCAGGTCAGAACCACAGTAGTTGTTTCAGGTGGGGCTCACACTACTCACAGAATCATAGAATAGTTAAGGTTGGAAGGGATCTTAAGATCATCCAGTTCCAAGCCCCCTGCCATAGGCAGGGACACCTCACACTGAACCATGCCACCCAAGAAGCACCCTACTTGGGAGAAGCAGCTTTAGAAAGGGAATTTTGTTAACTGCGATCGACAGACACCCCCTCTTGATGAGTACAGTACATCCTGGATCTGAAGCAAACCGGATAAATCCCAAAGCACCACCGTCTCTGCACAGAGAGCAATGGCTCCTCTGCTGCAGGAATCCTCCTGCAGCCCCTGGGGAAACGGCCCTGGACATCAGCGTGTCCCTCCAGTGAGAAGGAGAGCAGGCAGTGAGGTGTGACTGCCTCCATCCCTTCCTCCTCTTCCTCTCTCTCTTCTCCCTCCTCCAGCTGCGAGAATCACAGCGATGCACACAATTTCAAATTGCCCAAGCTTTCCAAGGTGAGGCTGAAGCACAAAACCTTAAATTATTCATGACTTCACCTCATTGCTGTCACAAAGGAATATTGCTTTCCCATGATCTGTGTTTGCAATGCAGAAAATTTCCTCACCAAGAAAATATTAAACCCATCCTTTGGGACTAATAGGAAATAATGCAGCAGTAAATAGGTGTCACATTTTAAACAAGCTGTACAAACACGAGTGCCGTCTTGCTTTTCCTCCCCTTAGGAAATTAGGTCTCATTGTGGGAGCGCCTAGAAATGCTGGCAGGAATCAAAGGGTACTGATTGAAAGCTTTTTACATTTATTCTTTCATGAGGGACGAACTATGAGCAAACCTGAGGTACCACCAGCTCTGACTTGAACTCACTCCAGCCCAACAATACAATGCTCCGTTCTGCAGGTTGCTTGTTCTTAGCCAGTCCCCCATGCTGTGCATCTGCTCAGGGGCCAAGTGTCAGCTTGTCCTGGGGGTGTTAATAACGACTATTTAAACTTTTAAGAACATGTTAAATACATTTCTTAAGCAAGTCTCAAACAAAAAGTAACTGCGGAGCATTCTGTCCCCTGCCAGCAGATCTTGGTCCTAATGGATCCCTTCCCACTGCGATTTTGTTTTACACAAGCCTCTGCCATAAAGGCTGAGCCCCCTCAATTTCCTTTCTGTGCTACATTCTCCTTGGCAGGGGGTTTAAACTGAATGCTAGGGTGGGAGAAACTGTGGTCTGTGTTTAAGCTGATCTGCACGCTTTCTGTCGAGCGGTGCTGTATCATTGCCACTTCCCAAGATATTACACCTTCTTACAGGCTTGAAGAGCTTTTTCTTTTCCCCACTGACTCAAGGCTCTTTTTCTTCAGTCAGATCCTGCTGTTGTTTTCTCCCCTAACCTGCTGGCAGTGAATTTCGTAAAACAACCGGTTTGCAACGGAGACAGGCCCAAACTAGAATGCAGAACTAAGCACATCTGCTCACCCTAGCTCCAGGGGAAGGCAGGCCCTGGTTCTGAACTTGGTGGGTTTGCCCCTTCCTGTGCTAGAAGTTGCCATTTAACAACCACTGTGCTCGCCAAAGGTTTCTCCCTCTGGCTGCTGCCTCAGTATGGACGCAGGTCAAGGAATAGGATTTGTTACTTAATTCCTTTGCAAGGGCAGCACAACACATTTCTGGGGCATGGGAAGCAATTAACATACAAAACAGACTGAAGTCTTTAATTCTGCTTTTCATTAGCACAGTGCAGTTCCATTCACTCCTTCCTGATAGAGGGGGGCTTCACGAGAAAATTAATCAAGCCTGTGGCGCTCCTGCTCTGCAGTGGAAACCAGCAGCGTGCCTGGTCTATCGAGTCAGGATGCTCTTGTAAAGCTGGGCTCTATCCTGTGACAATCCCTGCTTTTTTAAAGCACAGAGCCCACAGGGCAGTGCTGGAGCCTTTCCTCTCTCCGCCTCATCCTGTGGCCTCAGCCATCATCTGCTTTTGATAACAGTGCAAATATGTCACAAATCCTTTCTTAACCTCAAGCCTTCAGCTGAGGAAGGGTGGAGAATTATTGGGCGTTATGACAAGTTTCACTTCATTTAGCATAGCGTGGTGGACAACAGTTCTGGTTTGCTTGTTTGCAGGGCGTAGGCCTTTTTCTAGACCGTGCTTTATTTATTTCTCTCCCCATTGTGTTTTAAGTACTGTGCAAGCAGCAAGAACAAAGGCACAGGGGCTGATTATTATAATTATTTGCACTATTAGTAATTAAAACAAATACATCAGAAAGACAATTCACGTTATTTTTCAGCATGTGCTATCTCTTTCAGCCCTGCCAGCTGTCACCACAGCAATTTCCATGCCAACATCTCAGTAAAGCACCAGCATTTCCAGCAAAAAAAGGGTTTTGCTGGGATTTTAGTCTCACCGCACTGCAAGGAAATCAGAGGAGCCTGCAACGTCATCATGTGGGCATAAAAAAGGCCTGGGTGAGACTGATGTTTCTGCTGTATCACATTACTTATTAATATCTTTTCTCTTACGTTTATCCCTTGTTGCTACATTTTGTTTAGCTTCTCCTTCTTTCCTTCTTTACAATTATTACGGCAAAAGTATCATTGCTTTCTGAAATACACCGGGATTGAACACAGCCATAATAAAACGTAAGTTTCAGGATCATGTAGGGTGACAGCTTCATCCAGAACTTAAAGGACTGCAGACGTAAGTAAGAGTCTTTCTGACAGCAAAGCTCAGCAGAATGTGTGCCCCAGTTACCTCACACCTTTCCTGCAGCATCAACCAGCTCACCTGGTGCTTGAAAATGAATAAATAAGGGCACTGTCAGTGCAGCCACAAGACAACAGGCAAAGGCAGGTAACACAGGGGACAGCAGAAGTCAACCTTATGAACAGAAAGGAAAGGACATCTTACGTGGAGAAGGCATTGTTCTGTTTCTCACATCGGATCCCCTTGCAGTTGTTGGGCTCCTCCGAGGCACTGGTCTCATAGTAAAAGTAAAGCTGGTTCAGTCCATTGGCAAAGGCCAGAAGCACCAGGCAGTAGATAAAAAGGAACTTAAGGATGTCTAGCAGCATGCGTCCCAGAGAAATCTGCAAGGGTCCCAGGTGTGAATTTGCTGTAAACAGGGATATGAGACGCAAGGAACTTAAGATGTTGGATATTGCAAAGAGGGCTTCTGCAATGAGAGTCGGGTGCCACATCTCCCACTCCTCCCTTGGACGAGAACCGTTATACTGAAAAAATAACAAGGGTATAAAAGTTAATTATGTTGTAACTGCTCTCAGATAACGTAAAAAGACACATCTGCTAATACATGTAAACGCTACCCAGGTACTGGTGACACGAGAATTAGTTTTAGACTTGTTAGAGGTTTCTGGAACATTGGCTGTTCTTAGCCTAAACTTGGAAAACAAGGCTTCTGAATTCTGAGTTCACTGTTCTCAGGTTCCTCAGGTCCACGGGCTCGTACACAATCTGTTTCAATGCTTAAAGAGTTCAGCTTGCCCTTCAGCAGGCTCAGGTCAGAAATTCCCCATTACCTTTTCTTTCCTTTTGCTCCTAAAAATGATTGCACATTGAGAACACTGCACGTTCCTGGAAGAATCCAGGGGATGGAGGAGGGCAGAAGGGAAGCAATGAACTGGTGAGCCTAAGAAATGGATGCTTTCCTTCCCTGGTAATCTCAAAACCCTGCCAACAGCCCAGAAACAAAACACTTTCTTCAAATTAATTTTCTTATTAGTTAATTTGCCATGGCAATTTTAGGAGAGTTGCTAAAGCACAGGTCCTAATTACAGCTGAAGCACTGGATACATTTGAGTGCATCAATTATAACATTAACTTGGTTTGTAATGCAACTGTAAAAGCAGAAGCATTTTCTGAGCAAAGAGCAGCCAGATGCAAATAGGTTACATGAACGAGCTGGTTGTATAAATGTTAACTACTCTGGCTTAACTACGCTGGCACAACAGAATGGAGTCAAAGACATTTTAATGTCAAGAATAACTGTCCTTTTAACATTTGTCTCTGCTCATTTCCCATGTATAAAAGGCAAAAATGTACTTGGAATATATAGCTAACAGTGCAGCCAGTGTGTTTAGGACTCCTAAAATAATTTTTGTGTCTCTTAAAAGGAAGAGGCATCAGAGACAGATGAATTTAGGAGACTTTTCTATTTAAATCTGAAGGTCCAACATGTGAGCTCACAATTTTCTTTCAAGGACACAGCTAAAAGCAAGTTGGTATTTCAAACAATTCCTCTGTACGGCAGAGCTGAGGCATGATACAAAGGCATTGCAGCATGACCTCTGATTGCTTCTGACATTTCCAAACTGCTCTTTATTACATGAACATCATGACCCGCGCCTGTTAACTTGATTTGAAGATGGGTCTTAAAATGCTTATAAACAGGCAGACATGTTAACTTTTTGCCAGTATCCAGCACTGGGGTGGGTGGTTGGGATTGGAAAGTCTCCCCTGCACAGAAAGCAGATTTGTATAGTTGTTTGCAATTCTCTTCTGCATGCTGCCTGGACACAGCAGCCCAGGGACCCTCTGCTAGGGCTTAGCATAGACTGCATGTAAAGGTATGTGAAAAGGTCATCTTCATCTCACCTATATTATTAAAGCAACTTGTTAGGGTCATATATTGGCCCTGATGATATATCCCTGCTTGGTAATCAGTAGACTCTTCAGAGCAACCTAGCCATCACAGACAGAAGATTTCAGAGGTATCTAATGAAGCTGGGTGTCTGGGAAGGCTGGAACTGGTTGGGTTAGGCATCACAAAATGAAACAGAGCAGAGATGTATTCAGAATAGTACAAGTAAGTTACACCAGGCAGTCACATTTACCCTTCCTCATGACATGATAATTCAATGCAAAAAAAGGAAAACTGATTAAGAATGTATTTTTACCCTATAATTAGCCTGAAGATTTCAGTGGTATTGGACAATATTAGGGTCAGGTCTTGGAACCAGTCAAATCGAGACAAGAAAAAGTCTCCATGTAAAAACAAGGATGGAAAACATTAGTGTCAGTTTGCAATTTATTTTTCTGATATTTGGCAGAAATCTAAGTGTCCATGTAATCCTCTGAAGTTCTAAGAAGTGTTAGAATATGGTATATTGGCATATATCCCAGCCTTTTCCAGCTCGGGGCTGTTCTATAAATAACAAAAACCTTTACAAATCATGTTGCAAAAGGTTTTGAAGCCATTATCAGTGTTATATATCCTCATGTTTCAGAGCGTACTGCAGCCTCTAAGTGACATAGGTCACTTGGAAGGGAACTTCTGTGGGCACGCTGGTTCAGAACTACTCCTATAGGAGATTTTATGCACCTCTCAGAATTGCCTGACACTGGAACAGACCTTAGATCAGCGAGGTTTAACCCAAGAGGGTCTGATCTGTACTCAGAGACAGATACATTCCTTTTGTGTACTGGCATATAGGTCTTTGTAGTCAGCCTGTAAGTATCTGTAGTTCTTACAGAGTATACAAACAAAAGCTGTACCTCCTTTGTACATGTGGTTTGGCTATGAGCTTAAATCTCAGTATGTGACTGTGTAAGTCTATGGATGAACATCTCTTCTAGTCATTTGTGTGTGAGAAAGAACAAGATTGTTAACATTTTAAGACTTGTTTGTGAATCTTACCATTTCCAGCATTATTTTTTTTATTGCTCTCACTTTAAAGGCCATCCTTTCAAGTCTGTAATTTCCTCCCTGGTTCTGAATCTTGGGAGGAAAAAGATGTAATATCTTCCTGCTTTGATGCCGTTACAGAGCTGCCTCTTCAGGGAGCAGCAGCTATCTTAAAGCTTTTCCCTTTGAAAAGCTAACTCAGTGCTATGCAGTATCCTGGATTTTTAAAAAGACCCCACAGCAGACTGCTTGCCATGGTGGAGTCTATGAGCTTTGTGCCACTTTCTCCTTATTTCCTCTCTGCCTGTGCATATGCTTGGGTAAAACAAGGTTACTTTGGGGAAGTGCTTATCCTGGTTATTAGGAGCTGCGCTAAAGGAAGTAGTATTCTTCTAGCAGGGCAAAACCAACACAGTAGCACAGCATACCTGGAAAGTGCATAAACAGCCAAGGAGCAGACTTCAATGACTTGATTTACACCTGTGTAATTACACTCACTGCAGTGCTGTTACTGCAGATTACTGCAGATTCATACCAAGAAAAGAACCAGGCCAAGCCTGCACAGACTGAAGTCACAGAGCCATTGCATAAAGAAGTTTGCAGGAGACCATTTGTGCCTTGTCTGTGTCTTTGAAACAGAGAGACAGAAGGAAAGTGCTTCAGGCCATTCTTTGGCTTCAAAACATGGGCATACGTTAAATGGAGCATCAGAAGTTGATAAATGTGGAAGGTGCTTTTGAGGATGAGCTCTGCTGTGCGTTCTTGCCATCAATGGAACATGACAGTGCAGCGTCTACACAGTATCAAAGTTCCAGCATGCTCCTTTGTCATTTCTTTGCCTATGGTTTAAAACTATATATTGAAGAGAATAAGTTGACTCTTTTGTATGAGACGGAAGCCTCCTACTGGCAGGCCTGCTTTTCTTGGTAGACTTTTCACAGGTTATAAATCTTGGCTGTAGATGCTTTCAGATAACCCTATTCTTTTAACTTTACTGTTTTAAATTCACATTTTCACTATATCTAGCATTGTTGAAAGATGTCCAGTGTCAGTACGGAAAACAAAACGCATCTTTGACAACTGAGGAGCTACAAAAAGGACACCAAATGGGGAAACTTCTACCTACTGCCCAAACAACCTACTTCAGCCTTGATTAAAGAGTCAGGATGAGAAGGATGATCACTCTCCAAACAAATTCCTAAGCTTTCCAGGTATGTTTCCAGGTGAAAAAGCAGCTTTTCTCTTTGATTTGGACAGTTACTGCCCTGTCACTACAGTTCTCAGAAGCGAGTTACAAATTATCTCTCCCAAGATACCGTACCTTGACGTAGGCAACAATTTTAAGGGAGATAGTTGCAAGGTAGAGGGAGTTCATTGCAAAATCCATCAGATTCCACCAGTCGTGTACATACTCATTGAATCCACCATCCCACATCTCCTTGATTTCTCCCCAGATAAAACCTGTGGAAAGGAAGAGAGTTCATTGACATGACAAGGTATTATTTGCCATTAAAGCACTGTGTATACCTGGTGAAATAAAAGACAATTCTAAATTAACAGCTTGGAAAAAATGTCTCATCCCTCCTGTCTTCGACAAAGTACAATAGTGCTGATCATGAAGCATTTTACAACTCTGTGGGGAATGTAGTCTAGAGAGAGATGAAAAAGACCTAGGCTTCCTATCTGGGGCTCCAGACATACACACAAGGAGACTGCTTGAAATGTATGTTAATTACAGCTAGTATGAGTGGATTGGCTCAGATCAAATTTGTTCTACATGAATAAACTATTTAAGCCACTGTATTTTATATAGTTTCTAACAGATTGTCTGCTCTCCCAGAAACTATCAGTAACTCATTGCTCAGTTGGACAGCACTGATTTTTCCTGACTTCCTCTGCAGAACATGCAACACTAGCACCAGCTTCTGTGTGCCAGTACATTTCCTCCCTGACCTAGAAATATCACACCAAAGAAGGAAGAAGTGAATTCATTCTCTGTGCTCAGTCACTGCATTGATGCTTCTTGCTGCATAAAAAGCCCACTGGGACCACTTGTAGAAAAGGTAGGACTCAGCACGAAGAAAGGCACTGCAGCCTGGCAGTGGTACTGACTCACCTGATGTCAGATACGGCTATGGGTTCTGTGAGGTGAGTATTTGCTCCTGAGGATATGGCCAGAGCCCATCATCTCAACTCTGAAATGCCTTCTGGTGATCATTCCTGGCACCTGCTAACCTTCACTCTGCCTCCTTGGAGCTGGTGGGGAGAGGGCCAGCTTCTGAAGTTCCTTACCTGACGGCTAGACTCACAATTCTAATTCTAAGTAACTTACGGGTCCTTTACTTTAGAAGTGTTTAAGCATTTTTGAAAGCCTAAGTCCCATTAGAAGCAAATGGCAGCTAGGCTCCTTCATCATCTGTATGCTTCTGAGAATATCTATAGAGCCCCCAATACTTTACTCAGTTTACAACATTTTCCTTGAATGAAGACCCGAAACATGTGAAAACAAAAAGAAACCAACATAATACACTTTAGGTGCATTACCAACATAGTTACCCAAATTGCTACCCATCCCTAACCACAGGATACTGCAGTAGTCACTGAAATGCTACCTGCAAGTCCAGCTTTGGGACCTGAAAGCTCAATCTGAAGAGCAGATAACGTTGAAATGAACTGCTGCAAACACCTAAATATCTGTCTTAGCTCTTCAGCTGCCAGCCAGCAGGTCAATGGTCAGGCAACGTCAAGGCCAACGAGGTGGTTTTATTACAGCTGCCTCCAAATCTTTCCATGCCCACAAAAACATGGAATGAAATAAATCAACAGAGAGGAGCCTGTTGAAGAACTCATGCACTGTATTTATAGAGTTATCACTGCTGGTTACTATAGTTACAGCAATGCCGTGTGTGTCTGCTCTCTCTCTCCTTTGATTGTGGAAAATATTTCTTCAATCATAACCTTTCTGCTGGTGAAACTGTTCTAATTTCTCAATAAACAGTCCCACAATATCCCTGCTTATCTAAAACACAGGAACTCCAAAGGAGGAGCAGACGGCTGTAAGAGGTGATTCTGAAAGAGGTTTCTTAATGGATTATCCTTCAGCTAATCAATTTTGCTGAAATGTTTACCATTTCCCTCAGTTTTAACCATAAAGTCAAGGATAAAGTGAAGAGATCACCTAAGCTCAACAGAGACGTTTAACCTCCTCAGCTTGTTCTGAAGTTTTACCAACACATGTATTCAATGCCGTAAATCAGTTTAATAAGACAGCGAGCCTTGAGTTACCATTTGTAAGTTGTGGTAGAGCTATGCAAGAGGCAAAGTCCCCTGGGTCACCATTGGAATGGATTTTGTTTGCAACTCTTATTTTCTTGTTTTCCACCAGCATCAGTGTGGCTCTCCAGGCCACTGACCCCTACCAGAGAGTCTCAGTTCACTGGTACCTGCTCTCTGGGGTTTTGCAATGAACTGAGCAGGGCTGTATTGGCAGAGGATGGAGGAGAGCTATAAAAGTATGGAAACCACTTCCAGTGAGCAGGCCTTCTGGTAACACCCCAGCTCATGGTGGTGCTACATGTTAATGGCACATCAAAGGAGATGTGAGCCTAATTAAAGGGGAGATCAGGCTTCTAATGGAGGTCTCAGGTTTTCGCTTGCCTTTGGGTTGAAGCTCAGTTTGAGAGGGCAAATACTTCTTTCTCATAAAAAACACATCCAACTTGGCTTCTCTGCTCTTCTTCCCCAGAGGCTCTATCTGCTTTCTCCTGTCCCATCTCACTACCTCACCTGTACATCCTGCCCTCAGGAACACAGGCACCTTTTCTTCATAGCTGTGGTTGCCCACTGTGACTGCAGTAAGAGCCTCGTGTTTAACCTCCTTGTAATAAGCACTCGTTCCTTCCAGTGCTTATATTACAGCAGTAGATACTGATTTAGTCGGTGTTTATTAGCACAGAGGTATACGGCAGAGTGAGATTTATCTTTTCTGCCTGCCTTAGGGAGTCTGGGACCCCAGGAATCAGGTCTGGTACCTGTGCACTGGCTCTGGGCACAGATCAGTGAGAGGGTGAAAGCAGAGTCAGGCTCTGGGCACTGCCTTCTGCCATGTATCAGCCAGCAGAACTAAGCCAGCATGAGAGGTGACACTGTTCGTTACTAGCATGACCCAGAAGCTAATTCCTAACCCGTTCCTCACACAGAGCATGGGGGAAGCAAGGAGAGAGCTGTGTCTGCTGCGGTTTACTCAGGGTCATGTCTGATGGCATGTCAGATGGCAATATGAACAGCAGAAGAGCCCTAGGCCAACAGGATCTGTTGTTCCAGAAGGAGCCCAGCTGTTTTATGCAGTTACTGAAGCTGGCTGCCAAATCTCTTTACATGCTGCTGATGCTGAGATCAGGAATGAGTCTCCCCACAGTTGCCATGGGTGCGAGTCAGGAGACTGTGGCTCAGGCATGTTTGTGTTTGTGATTTACCTAGAACCCAGGGCAGGATCATCCATTCCACAATGGTGGGAGGTGGTCCCTGCATGTGAAGGTCAGTCCTGACGATGTGCTGCGACGCCAGCAGGAGCATGAAGAGGAAGGTTAGGTAAGAGCCGGTGTGGCAGATAAACTTTATAAATGGCTTTTTAATGAACAGTCCCAGCCTGCTCTTCGGTGCAATCAGATATGCCACGGATAGCACAGGAAATAGCAGTCCAATGGTGACACAGGTCAAGAGTTTTACTGCCCAGTGTTTCCGCCTCCATCCTGGAAAGCCATCATACCAGAGTGTTGCTAGTAGCTGCTGGCAGTTTGGCTGAGCAACAAACTGAGGAGAGGAAGAAAAACCAAAGAAAGATCATTACTGACTGGTACTTTACGTGCACTCCCCCTCATGTATGTGTTAGAGCCCACACAGACCCTCATACTGAGTTCAGGGCTGGTTATGGAGTGGAAAAGCATATTTTGGAGACAGAGGGAAGAAAAGAGGGAGATTTCACTCTTGTTTTTCTGCATAGGGTTTAAGATTTCTTCTGGGAGTGTTTTTCTATTTGAAGCATCCTTATGTAGATCACTCGCTCACCACACAGGAAGCCTTGTGCAAAAGTGATACAACGAAAACTACTACGAGCTTTTTCTCTTCCCATGTGTTTCTCTTCCAACACGTTTCTTCTCAGAGTGTTTCAGGTCTCGACCGCCTCAAACAAATCAGCGTCAGCATCTTTAGAAAGTGACTAAAAGATGAGACAAGAGGGAAAGGGTGTAAAGCTCTGAGTGTGTGAGAGAGGGAGAGAGAATGCCTCCAGAAGTGTGTGGGGTGCAGCACGTGGCTCAGTGCAAGGAGGCCAGCATATGTGTGTGTGGGCCGGGGGGGGCATGAGACAGCATGCAGTAATGTGAAGTGAAGGCAGGTGATGTGTGCTGGGAAGCAGGGCAGCACGTTTGTAACCGTGCCTCGTTGTTACGGAGGAGAGCAGCTGTAAAACAGAAGGGGTGAAGCAGAGGCAAACAGGAATCACTGATCAGTACCAAAAGTGACACTGAAAGTTCCCTTTCACTCTGCAAAAAGCAGCATTCTGATGGTGATTTATGGCATCCCAGTGACTCCATACCAGACATGCTCAGGTTGCAGCTACTTCAGACTGCTCCAACCCCTAACATCCTCTGGAAATTTAAACTCTGGTCTATGCCAGCAGACTTCATGCTCCTGATTGTACCTGGACAGCCCCATGGTTCCCATAGCTCATTAGAGATGTCTGCAAGACCAAGACAGCTTTGTTTTCCTTACGCATTTGATTGCTAATCCATCTTAATGAAGTTACACTTCTGAGCTACTAAATTCAGATGTCTCACTGAGCAATCTCAACTGTTGTTTGAGGATGCCTGTTAGGCTTTGCTGTAATGAAACCAGAAAAACTGTCTTAGCATGGATATAGTTACTGATAAACATACTCCTGCAGCAGTATAACTACATCTCTGATAGGACACAGCTGTATCAGAAAGAACCACACTTCCATTGGACACCATAGTTCTAACAGCATTTACCAAGGAGAAGACACCTTTCATAGAAGACTAAACCAAGGGCAAGAAAAGGGAAAACCAAGTTGCTCAGTCTCATAAAGTCATTCATTTCTGTAGGTATTTTTAGATCTTGTGAATACATTTTCTATGCTACATCAGGCTGTTTATATCAGAATCAGACCATTCTGGAATGGGTAGTTTGAATAGATGAGCTGACCCAAGTTAGTACTGAAAATAAGATCTCCAAGAGGAATATCTGGCATTTATGAAGTAGGTTGTTTATCTGGTATTACCATAATAAACATGACTGATGCATCTAACATACAAGTGGCACTGCTCCAGAGGTCATCAGGAGACAACATCAGAAACGCACGTGATTTGGAACCAAGCTACACAGAAACTGGACAACAGTTGATGTGGTGATGAACTCCAGAAGAAACTGGACAACAGTTGATGTGGTGATGAACTCCAGAAGAAACCAAGCCCTGCAGCCTGCAACGATCAGAAAATGTTATTGTAAAAGTCTGGAGACTTGGAATGGGGAAACTGGTGAAAGGAACAATTCTACAGACACCGAAAACCATCCAGCACAGATTGTCCTTTTGTTGGCTGGGGTTTAATCTGTGATTACAGAATGGTCAGTGTGGGTTGTCTAAAAGCCAGAAGAAACAGAAGGTTACACTGCTATATATTCTCTTTTAAGATCCCAAGCAGGAGCTGTGCCTGGATGTGTTCTGCAGTAATTTACATGGTAATAGATGCTGCTGTTTCTCTGCAATGAGGTACAACTTTTTTTTGTAAGGGGGAAAATGTGTAAACACATTTTCTCTTCATCACATATGAGAGAAAGCTCTGAGGGGAGAATAAAACTGTTTTTCCCCTGAGTTGAAGTCAGAGTCATTTGAGAAATCAAATGACTGTGAGTTCCCCTGGTTGCTGTGCAACTTGCGAGCATCTTAAAAGCGCCTCTTCTCTGCCTAATAGCTCATTTCTAAAATCTGCTCTCTGTGTTGTATCTGATGTTAGTTCTTCAAATGGAGAGAAATTCACACATCATGAAAGTGCAGCTTTAAAGACCAGCTTGGCAAAAGGGAATGGAAACCATTAAATAGAACCCATTAGATTTTCCAATCAAGCCCATCCCAACCTCACTGAAAAAGGCCTAAGGGAAATTTCAGCATACCACAGAAAGAAGCTCTCCCTAATGTCACAAACCATCAAATGCTGTCTTTATTAAAGGTAACGCTAAACACTTACTAATGTGGGCTTTTACTAACATATTACTCCAACATATGAATCACAGATTTGATAGTGCACAGATAGATGAATGCATGTAAAACATGAACCCATGAAAAAGCCCAGCTTTAGGCCTTGCAGGTGTGAAGTAGCCCGAAACTGTAATAGTATCATGGAACTTTGGTTATCATTCCACAATCTCTAATTTCTTCATAAAGTTAAGGAAACAATCTCATTTCTGCTTTGTAAACAGGACTAAGATCTGGGAAAGCAAATTGACTTCTCCAGCACTGCTTATGCCAAGGCCTTTCGTGAGCACTTTCCAAGTTCAATTTCAGCCCGAGTCTCAAATAGGTTTTTTCACTTTTTTTGCAAAGCTTTTCCTTTGCCATAGGTAGAAATAGAGCATGTGTATATCACAGCCCTGTACCATCTCACTTGAACATACCACATGTGACAGGATTTGGTATCAGTTAAAGTTTCTGCACAGTGAAAAGGAGAGTTCGTGATGATTTAAAAACCTGTGTATTGTCCCTGTTTTGTAGATGGTGCAGAATGAGAGGCAGATGTGCTGTGCCAGAAGCTCTCTATTTGTGTAAGAACACGAGCATACAACTTGCAAACAGTGTGTTTCTGCAGTACATAACAAGATGGTGTCACAGATTTTTTCCAAGGACTGCGGCATTATCAGAGCCTCCAGTCCCTATTGCAAGTGGCAGCACAAGACATCATCCACAGATGTGATGGAGAATGTTCTGACAGCTGCATTAATGAAAAGAAATGCTTCCAAAAGGTGGCACTTATACTCAGTTCAGCTAAGGTATGAACTAAACATTCAATGCTATGAATCCTGGGGTAGTGCTGGCGTAACATTGTCCAGGATTGTCCCTACCCTTAGACAAAGCCTGTAGATGCATTTCTGGGGGAGGCAATCCAAAGGGCAAGCTCCTCCTTTATCTGCTGAGCAGAACCTGTCCCAGCTGAAGCTACAATTCACTTAATGACTAGGAGACAAGAGGCAACCCAGAGTACCTCTTGTGAGGACAACGCCACTGTGTCACTGTTCAGTCTCCTGGCTTCTGAAAATGGGCATAAGTATCTCTGCCTTTCCAAGAAGTGATGTCAGCAACTTCAGTCATGGTTGGGAAGCACTTTGAGGGTAGAGGCTACTGCAATACAAAGTCTGTTATGTTCCCTCTTTCTTCCTTCGGTCTTGCCAGGGTCTTTGTGTGACTTTTGGCTTGCAGCTGGATTGTGCTATTAGAGAATTTCATTTTCAATGCTCATCAAACTCATTGTCACCTGATCCTCTACCAAGGGGACCATTTTCAAGGGAAAGCAGCAGCTGCTGGATGGAGTGTCTTTTTCTTCCTATCTAATCTTCACCGATATTTTTATGTCACCTACTTTCTACTTCTTGGGAATTAAATGCTTTCTGCATGCTGTGCCATTAATATAAATATCAAACACAGAAATTATGTTCCACCCCCCCCTCCCCTTATCTATGGGGAAATCCCTTATCTCTCACAGCCATAAGTAATTTAGGATCAGACACAGATGGGCTGAGATGTGAATGCCTCAGGGAGCAACTGAAATAGCTCCCTGATAGACATCACAGGGGCTGAGCACAATATTTCTCTGCATTTATTCTGATTATCATGAAGGCTGCCAACAGGCTCTTCTCTTTGGAGTTTGGTGGAGCTCTCTTCTCTACTCTTGCTGCGGATGGTGATAGCAAATGCTCTTCATAGATGAATAAGCACTAATTTGTAACTGCAGAGCCCTGTGTTAATAAGCAGGACAGAGTTCTTCTATCAGTCAGCTACATCAGCTCCCAGTGAGGTTACCACTGAGAGGCAAATGTGGCATGGGAGCCATGAAATTAACTTTAGTTCCCCTGTCTGACACTCATTTCAATAGGTTAGGTCTCACTCGCAGCACTGAATCCCACAGCACCTAAAACATACCTCCAAGGTTATGTGTTTGGGGGTATATTATATGCTGCTGCCTTCTACAATTAAAGCCATTTTGGCCTTGGAGCGGGAGCTTGCACGTGAACCAAGCTACATTTTGCAGTCTGTGTGACAACGGGGCAACTGCAGTGTCTGATGTAGTAGCATAAGTATATATTCTAGCTACATCCGTAAAGCATGTGATTTCTGTGAATCCAGTTCTATCATGAAAAGGAGAAATGTCATTGCTGGCAAGCACAGCATGGTGAGGCAGGGCTGGGAGTAGCAGGTCTATGCCCCCATCCATCCCAGTTTGTGAACAGGGAGACATGAACAGAAGGATCTGCCACCCCCCACCAATACAACTGCAGGTGACTGGGGAGAACACATAATCAGT